TCCTGCTGTGTTTTCTGTCTTTGATCAAACATTTCTGGAAAAATAGACACACTCAGAACTGTATTTCCATGGTGATTCTAAATCATTAAAGTGACAGCTAAGAAAACCTGGAAGATCAACAGTGAAGTATGTATTGAAAACTGTTCTTCAAACTAGACAAAGGATTAATTTTTCTAGTTTATGAGTTAGTTCATAATAATCTCCACATGCCACGTATATAACGTTTTCTGTTTTGAAATAGAGTCTTCCTGCAGCCTCAGCTGACCTGGAACTCACTGTGTAGACTAGATGGGCTTCAGTCTCACAGAAATCTGCCTACCTCTGCCTTCTGAGTACTGGGGTTTAAAGGCAGCCATGTATATAACATTTAAAATGCACAGTAAACCTAAGAAGTCTTAGAAAAAAAGCACGTCTTCAGAAATCAAGGCAACTTCTTTAAAGTTACAGATAGAACTTGTCATCTTCAAAGGTTAATGGCCTAGTCAAGAACATATCTTTTAGGGCAGAGCTTCAGACCTCAAGTCCAGTATTTAAATTCTTGTTCAGTCCTTCTGTGAGCACAGAGCAGACTCAAGCAATTCCATGTGGAGGTTATTACTGAGCTCTTCATTTTTTCTCTTTCATCAAAGGTGTCTGTCTGCTTTCATGATAAACTCTGAAAGGTAACACAGAGCTGAAGAGAAGACCTCAGTAAGCTCTGTTAATACAGAAAATGAAAGAAAAAGGGCAGGAAGAGGAAATGGGCTAGTAGTGAGCTGGACTTTCCCACTCTGGTGGGAGTGAATGGGGCTCTTGAGCATGAAGTTATAAACAGGTAGAAGGAAAACAGAGAATGTGTATATTCTATAGACATTATCCAGCAAATATATTTTGAAGTGAATAAAAGGTTTATTGCACCACAGTAAAACATAAGTTTTAGAACTGTTGTGAGTTGTTCAAAGAGGGTAGAAGGATGCTTGGGAGAGATGAAAGTAATTTTTGATTTCTAGTCTGCCTTTGTTCCTTCAGGACTCTACAATGGTGTGTAAGAAGAAGTGCTCCCACTCTGGTGGCTGTGACAAAGATGCAGAGGCCTGTTGTGAAGAGTGTCTCCTACAAGTGCCCCCAGAAGACATCAAAGTGTGCAAGTTTGGTAACAAGATTTTCCGGGTATGTCATGAGATAATCCATCATGTGAGCCATGTGTTATGGGAGCCATCACACTATAATGACCATTAAGAAGGTCCAAATATATGCACTGGAATTTTCAATAATTTATATACACAAGACATATGTGTGTATGTAATAATTTGCATTATAGTATTATATATGCATATATATAAAATCAAGTACAAAGTAAGCAGAAGGACAACTATTAGAAATAATTTCTTTAGGCTTTAGTTTGGTGGAAGATTTTAGATCTGCAAGCATTATTGTCATTTGTACGTGTGGTCAGCCAGAGCCTGCAGCTCAGCTGAACATGCCCCAAGGTTGGTGTAGTCTCAGAGCCCTAGTGTCCCAGAGCATCTCATTCACTTGGGGATACTCAGTGAACCTCATCAAGATCATGATCTATGGCAAGATCCTGATGGATCAATATCTTGGTACTTTCAGATGTGTTTCAAGGGCTCCTTTTCAAGGAGAAAATATCTTATTTGGAAGGTGTTCAGGTGAGGGTGTTTACAGTGTGTGTGATCAGCAAAGGTGAGAGTGTCCAACTTTAGAGCACTCAAAGGTGAGAGTCCAAATTCAAGTACTCAAAAGACTTGCCTGTTGACCTTAAGTGTCTTTTACATTGTTTACTGGTGATCTCAAGTGGGAAGCTGGGTGGGAACCATTTAAAGTCAGGAAGTAGGTTGTTGGCTTTGTTCAAATTGCTTTCACTCTCTTATCTAGTACATTCCCCTCAAGGATGGAGGGAATCACTCTATACGAAAGCTGCCACTTCATGACGCTCATGAGCATCTAGACCCTCAGCATCATGCCATATGTGGAAGCTCCTTCAAGCTTCCTATCCACTGACGTGATTGTAGGGAGAGGTCTGTGTTCTTATAGACTCTGTAAAATGACAATACATGGTGATGGTTCAAGGGGCATGTAGCAAGTTTTAAGAGAAACTCATTTCACAGTCTTCTTATACAAAAATCACCATCTGTCTCAGAGCACCAAGATAAAATTGAATATTCTCATGATGGTGTTTTTGACAAAAATCACTTTATAAAATATTCCTTCAAGTAACTGGCCCTTGAAGTACTTTACAGAAACACTGAGCCCTAGAAATATTTGCTCAGAGCACTTGGATCAATTAGATGCCCTTTGAGACTTCAGTTAGAACTCTCTCACCTGAAAGGCATTCATATGTTGCTAAATAAGTATCTTCAAGAAGGGAGGAG